GATTTCCCTTTCTTCCAGTACGTTTTTCTTCTCGGTTTCCAGTATAGTACCATGGGACTACGCCAGCCATGTTACACTGCATATTTGCTACTTGATCTTGCAGCCATCAAACAGCAGATGTGGATTTAAGAACTTGCCATGAACCTTTCTCAAAAGTGAATTCACAAGGGTGTGAGAGAGTTATACACAGATACAATCTGTAGGCAGATGTGAGAGTGATACCCAGACCTGCAAAATGAATCATATAAATAATGTGTAATTAATAGCCTTTAATAAGTAGCATTTTAATAAAGCTGGATGGACAGTTGGATCAGCAGCCATACAACTCGGAGGGGCTTAGTAATTCTGAGTAATCATGCTAAGGATTTCTGTGTTAAACCTCTTTTGGCTCTAATTCAGAAGAAAAGCCAGGCGGCAAAATGAAAGAGACCTGTTATTTTCTAGCTTAACTGAGGCTACGATTTGAAAATGCTACTGGGCTGCTTTTTGTTGGCAAGGTATTCCAAGGTGTGTGGCTAAAAATAGAACTGGATATTTTCTTTCCCTTAGGCACTTCTGTGCATGGCAGAGAGCACCACCAGGGAGAAAATGAGCCCCCAACACTGAATGCAAAACTGCCCTGTTTCACGAGCCAACTGTCAAATGTTTGGAATTCTGCCTCAATAAAAATAATGAGTTATCTAAAGTACATGCACTTTGGCAGAATTTGTTTCAAGTTTATTACATTCCAATTTTTAAATACATTTCCAATAAAATGCAAGCGACTATATGGAATTAAAGAAGCCATCCATCCATCCATCCATCCATCCATCCTGTACCCTAAAATTAATCCTGCATGCACATTTGCACAGTTAAAATAGTTATTGAATTTCCACATGTGTTTTCTTAAAGCAATTGCATCACTATGCTCTCCAGCATTGCAAGTCTATACATTGCAAGCATCAGAAGTAAGCCTGGTTTAGTTCAATGTGGATCACTTCCCCCCTGGTAAGTAGGCATAGGGTTGCAGATCTAATGACTTTTTTGCCTGACACTGCAACTACACCAGCAGCCGCACTGGGACTCACTTAAATGCACAAAGCTTTTCTCCAACTAGCTTTAGCTCAGCCTGCAATTTGTCACTCCCAGTGGTGTAACAGTAAATGTTGAAGTACAGGACTCATCCTGACAGCTCCCACAGTCATACCCCCAAAGAGAATCCAAAAATGCAGACGTCTGTGTTGATCCATTATTATATCATCAACAGCAGCAGCATGTGGCATAATGCCCAACTTATTAAGATCATCATGACTGCAACATTATGCATATAGTTTCCTGGAAGCAAGCAAGCAAAATAAATTCACCTTTGAATTAACTGCATAGGTTCAACTTGCAAAACATACTGAGATTTAACAAAAAATATTCAGCCAGATGAAATGCAAGTTCAGTTTTTAAATTAGAAATGCAAACAACCAAATGCAAGAGTTATCATTTAAATAGCGTAAAGTAGGAACGCCTTAAAAGAAAAGACATATACAGCCTCTGCTTGCTTTTCTTACTCATTCTCCAGTTTCCTCTGCGCTCAGGGTGTGGAAGCTTTGGCCTCCAGATTTTGTTAAACTACAACACCCATTATCCTGGGCCATTGCCCAGGCTTGCTGGGATGGATGGGAATTGCAGTTTAGCAACACCTGGAGGACCAAAGGTTCCCCACTCCTGCTCTCTGCTTCATTTTCACCTCCCTCATCTGCCAGATCAAGGAGGGTTGATCAATCATCATCCCAATGCTTCAGCAGCTGACACCATCACGTCTCCTCTGAAAAGCATCCCAGAGCAGCACTTTCCTGTGCCTTGCCTTCCAGAACACTGGTCATTCCACTCCCTTGGGGGTTTCCCCATTGCTCCTAGATGAAAGCCTGAGAAGAAACTACACAATACAGTGGCACCTCTGATTATGAACTTAATTCGTTCCGGAGGTCTGTTCTTAACCTGAAACCGTTCTTAACCTGAGGTACCACTTTAGCTAATGGGGCCTTCCGCTGCCTCTGCTCCGCCGGCGTGCGATTTCTGTTCTCATCCTGAGGTAAAGTTCTTAACCCGAAGAATTTAACACCGATCGAAAAAGAGAGGTTTCAGAATGAGACAGGTTTAACAGTGGTAAAAAAAGTGAAATATTTGGGGATTCACATGACAGCTAAAAATGGGAATTTATTTAAAGACAATTATGAAAAGTGTTGGTCGGACATTAAAAAGGATTTAGAAATATGGACAAATTTGAAGCTTTCCTTGTTAGGTCGAATTGCTGTCATCAAGATGAATGTATTGCCAAGAATGCTGTTTTTGTTTCAATCGATACAAATAATAGACAAAATGGACTGTTTTAAGAAGTGGCAGAGAGATATTTCTAAGTTTGTCTGGCAGGGCAAGAGGCCCAGGATAAAATTTAAAATGATTGATGCTGATGCTAAAGAAAGAGGGATTTGCCCTGCCAGACTTTAAACTTTATTATGAATCAGCAGCTTTCTGCTGGTTGAAGGATTGGTTACTTCTGGAAAATACTGATGTTTTGGACTTAGAAGGTTTCAATAATGTGTTTGGGTGGCATGCATATTTGTGGTATGACAAGGTTAAAGCTCACAAAATATTTAAAAACCATATTGTCAGGAAAGCATTGTTCAATGTCTGGATAAGATATAAAGACTTATTGGAGAATAAAACCCCAAGGTGGCTATCACCAATGGAGGCAAAGGCCCTAAAAAGTCCAATATGGAGGCCAAGTGGCCAAAATATTGGGAGATCTTGGAACAAGAAGGAGATAAATTCAAATTGCAGAGTTTTGAAAAATTAAAAGATAGAGTGCGAGACTGGTTGCATTACTACCAAATAAGAGAGGTCTATAATTTGGATAGAAAAATTGGCTTCCAGGTGGAAAAATCAAAGTTGGAAACAGAACTGCTAGATCCCAAAACTAAAACACTTTCAAGAATGTATAACTTGCTGCTAAAATGGAATACTCAGGATGAAACGGTAAAATCTGCTATGATTAAATGGGCACAGGATGTTGGACATAACATTATGTTTGCTGACTGGGAACGGTTATGGACCACAGGTACGAAGTTTACAGCATGTAATGCTTTAAAAGAGAATATAATGAAAATGGTGTACAGGTGGTACATGACCCCAGTCAAGCTTGCAAAAATCTACCACTTGCCCGATAATAAATGTTGGAAATGTAAGGAAACTGAAGGTACATTCTTTCACCTTTGGTGGACGTGCCCAAAGATCAAGGCCTTCTGGGAAAGGATATATAATGAGTTGAAAAAGGTATTTAAGTATACCTTTCTAAAGAAACCAGAGGCCTTCCTCTTGGGCATTGTTGGCCAATTGGTGCTAAAGAAAGACAGAACTTTCTTTATGTATGCAACAGCAGCAGCAAGGATACTCATCGCAAAGTATTGGAAGACACAAGATCTACCCACTCTGGAAGAATGGCAGATGAAGGTAATCGAATATATGGAACTGGCGGAGATGACTGGCAGAATCCGTGACCAGGGAGAAGAGTCGGTGGAAGAAGATTGGAAGAAATTTAAAGACTATCTACAGAAATACTATAAAATTAATGAATGTTAAATTGAGGTCTGATTGAAAATAACTGGTATTGGCAAAAGCCTTGTGATTAAGAGCATGGAATATTTGATCGATAAAGTTGTAATATTTATATATAAATAGATTAACTTTTTTGAGTTAAGATAAAGAAAGGAGGGTAAGGATTTGCTGAAAGGAGTTCTTAAATGGAAATACAAGCGGGGAGATGTGGGGAAGTCAAAGAACTAGGTAATGATAAGAAGGTTAAATGAAAATATAATACTTTTTAAATTTTTCTGTTTCTTTTTCTTTTTTTTTCTTTTTTCATTTTTTGTTATGGATATTGTTATCTCTGTTTGCTTTTGGTTATTGTTACTGTTGTTTTCTGTTTGTCGAATTTTTGTATTTTTGCATTTTTTGGAACTTTTTTTTCTGTAAAACCAATAAATATTATTAAAAAAAAAAAAAAAAGTTCTTAACCCGAGGTACTACTTCCGGGTTAGCAGAGTCTGAAACGGGAGGCGTACGCTTCCCAGTCTCCAGATGCTGGGTTGAATGGCGAGAAGCTGCTGTCGGTTGCCATTCTGAGTTCCTTGTGCCCCGGAGCTGAAGCCTGGATACACGGTGCGAGGCAGCGGTGCGGCAGGTGGCGGTGCTGCGGTGCTGTGTGTGGCAGTCAGCTCAGCAGGATCTCACCTTCGTCGCCAGTGAAATATACTCAGAGTTGCAAAGTGATTTCATGCTCTTTATTCAGCTCATAGTGGTGAGGAGGAATGAATAAAAGTCCCCTCAAAGTATCTGCTTTATATACATTATTTACACAATGGGCTGCACATGATTGGCTAATTCTGGAATTCTACTGTAAGCCAATCAGGTTGTGGATTCACTTATATCTGGAGCATGACTGGGTGGTTCCTGCCAACCAATCATACTGCTGCATTGTTCTAGGACCAATCAGACTGCTGCAATTTGGATCCTATTGTTCTAGGACCAATCAGACTGCTGCAGTTTGGATCCTATTCAACTCAGTACATAACAGTTTGTAACCTGAGGTGTTTGTAACCCAAGGTACCACTGTACTGAGGCAGCTTGTGCATGAGACAGAGGCTATGACAGGTTCTCTGGGTTAATCTTCAGCCTTCAGACCCCCTGGCCCTTTAACTTAGTATTAAAGACAGAGAGTTGATTGTGCTGCCTGAGATAGTGTCATTGTGGGGGAATATCCACTGTCATTTCCCTTGGGCGTCTGGGAATCAGCCCCACGCATTCCTCACTGCTGCTTCCCAAGTAAGAAGGGAGCCCTGCATGTCCGGAGGGAGCAAAGGCAGTGAATCACAGGAACATAGGAAGCTGCCTTATACCAAGTGAGATCATTAGCCTTTCTAACTTAGTATTGTCTACACTGAATGGCTCTATAGGGTTTCAGGCAGGATTCTCTCCCAAGCCAGGGATTGAACCTGGCACCTTCTGCATGCAAAACAGATGCTCTACCACTGAGCCACGGCCCGTCCCCAATGGAAATGATGATGGCTACCCATCACAATCCATTCTTTGCCTTCCACCTTAAGGCCAAAGGATATCAGATTCATAAGATATCAGTGCTATGGCAGCTGGTAGTCCCAGCGAGAGGTAGGGTGGATGAGGATGGGCAATAAGAGCAGGGTTTTTTGTATCTATCTGTTGGGGATATACTTCCCCCCTCCAGATTAATGCATTATTATATAACAAAGAATAAAAAGTTTTGGTAGCAACCTGACCTTGTAAATAGGTACCGTATATGCACACTTCACTATACTGCCAATTCAATCTGACTGTTCCTGGCAATAAAGTTTAAAGAGCTTTGTTTCAGGATCAGTGCCTTAATTAGCCCTAGGGCTTTTATAACACAAAGAAAAGCAAGAGAGAAACAGCCATTACAAGTTTTTATCAGGGTGATGAATGATACCGACTAATAGAAAAGAAATAAGGAAACAAAGATGTACCCTATCAGGCTTATATGATGCTGAAAAGTTAATGTGGCAAATCTGAAATGAGCAATCATTGAAATACCCTAAAGGAGAAGATAGGTCCTGTTTTAAATGCACATTTCAAACAATGTTGTAAGTTAGGAAAATCTTTATCACTTCTAGTGTAATTATGTTGCTTCTTATTGGCTTCTCAGTGCTTTTTTTATTTTATTTTTTGTAGGCACGGGATTTTGGTGGTGTCCTACATGCCACTTCCTTGTCACATCTGAACAGACAAGAAAATGTATAATGTATGTATTTTTTTGTTTTTAAGTTTCTAAATGTCAATGGCTCAGGGCACTAAGAAGCAAGCAAAATATATCTTCTCTGCAGGCATGGAGAGAAGTTAGACATAGCTGCTAATGCCCTGCATTTTGGATCAGCACAACTACCAAATGCCAGCACAAATAAAAAGCTCTTGAGGTTCTTTGAAATAAATAATGGCAGATCTATTGGTTGAATCATGGGAGGAGAAGCTGTGGAATGCAATTCATTGGCAATGGAGTAGTCTGGATGCTCCAGTGAACAAAGGATAGCAATGTTAGACTAAACTGCAAATATGGGATCAGCCTGTCCTCTCTGCTTACCCTGACTCACTTCATACCATTGAATTATATCATTATTGCTTATAAGCAGTCTCCCTGCAGTGTGGCATAGTGGTTGGACTAGGACTTGGGAGACCAGGGTTCAAATCCCTGCTCAGCCATGAAGTTCACTGGGTGACCTCGGGCTAGTCACTGCCTCTCAGCCTAACCTACCACACAGGGTTGTTGTGCTGATAAATTGAGGAGGGAGAGAACCATGTACACCACCTTGAACTTGGAGAAAAAAAGTGGTATATGGATGCAATAAATAAATAAATGTTATAATATGCATACAGTGGATAAAATAAATTAAATTTTCATGCTGGTGTGTTCCATTGGGCATGTGCTTCTTGCACTCATCAGATGCTCAAGGCTCTCTGCGACAATCAGTGCGCTGGAAACATGCCTGAAGTGGCAAAGTTCACCTGTATGGCATTAGCTCACATACTATTGTGTTATGTAAGGCTTTGCAAGCACTTGGCCAGCACCTCACCCTTGCCAAAATAAACAAAAACAAAAAACCTCCCTGTGAGGAAAGGAGAAATCTTTGCTTCCCAGTTCTGAGCTCTGTGGACAACTTAGGGCTAAAATAAACACTACTTGGAGGTGTGTGGGGTTTTTTTTTTACACCATCCATCAAGGGTCATTAGCATTGTGTCTCCCAGATGTTGCAGGATGACAGCTACCATCTCCAACATACTCTAATGGGTATTAGACTCCTCCGACATCTAGAAGCACAATGGCAAGGGTGGTAGTCAACGGAGTTCCATTCAGAGTAGACACAATGAAATGAATGGACCTTAGTCATACTCATTAAATTCAGTGGGTCTACCCTGAGTGGGTCTACCCTTAGTTGACTCCCACCTACAGGCTACCAAATGACACAGTGCAGGGACAGATTTGTGCAGTTCTCTGAGGTTCTTTTGCTGGAAAGCGACCGACAACACGTGCTTGCTTATGAGGTTGGAAGTGTGTGTTTATATCTGTAGAAGGTGCAGAAGCCTACCATATGGCCCATCTTGCATAAAAGCTGTTCAATGTTCTTATGAATATTCTAGCAGCCCAGCTATTCTCAATTTGTGGTTAATTCCCAAACGACTTGCTAGCACAAAATGCAGTAGCACGTGTGCTTCTGTCTATGCTGCAGAGGCTTATTCCAGAGCAGTGTTCTGTTTTAGCTGTTCTTCTGTGGTTGTTGTGAAACATATCAAGGACTGGGACATCAGGTTAAGGATTCTTTTCAGAGTTGTGGCCTGGTTTGCACATCACGCTAAGCCAAATCCCTTGCTTAGCATCAACATGTAGGCTCCGGGAGAGGAAGTTGCAGCCACTTCCCCCCACCCTCCCTAGTTGTTCTGCTGTTGAGCTAATCTAAGCCATAGTTTGGTTTAGCCTGTCATTCATACCTGGTTTTGTGGTTTAGCTCTCTCCCGGATAGCCATGGGCTGTAGCCAAGATTTGTCCTGTGGTGTACAGCTAACAGTAAATCAATTCTGTGAGGAACCAAAATCGAAAGATTTTCACATCCCTTTGCATGAAGAGCTCTAATCTGGGGAGCAAGGGTGCACATTTTGATCACATTTTTGTTTACACACAAGGAGATGTCCAATGTTCCTCTGTAGAAGACGGGGTAAACATAGAGCTGGAAACTGGTATGTGGTGAAGGGTTATGAAATTTTCTATCAAAGTATGGGCAATAGCATTCTAGCTGTCAAAAGTCCCATGATCACAATTAAGGAGTTTGATGAAAGACCAAACCACGAGTGTTTTTTCAGCTTATGGCTTAAATGTATTGAGGTCTTATACATAGGCCTAAAGATTTTTAAACCTTTGTGGCTTAGTGAAGTGATACAGGATGGAATGGTCTCCTATGCATTTTTTTTAAAATAAAAAAGAGGTAAGGAATAGGTAATCTTGGGCTTAGGACAAAAGACCAAGGGCTCATGGTCCCTAACAACATCCCCTTTCTGCAGCTTGCTAAGGACAGAGTTGTATAACACAGCGCACCCACCTACACACACATGCCCTCAAAATCTGCTCCAGAGGCTTGAGGGACCCCCCAAGCAGTTTTTGGGGGTGCATTTTGGCAGGGTGGGGGAGAGGAATGTGAAGCCCCATTGTGCAAGCAAAAGTCAACTTGCACAACGTTAGATTCCTTCCAGAATAAAAGACCTTCCATCCAACATAAAGTCTGCAACTGCTTTATCTTACTGAGCTTTATACACTGTGACTAAAGACGGCTGCATGATTGGTAATTGATTATTTATTAACAATATCCATGATGACGTTGTTGTATCTGGATGCAATTTTCGATCATCACCAAAACCATGGAGCTCTATTATTTTTAAAAACTCTTTAAAGCAGGTGTGGAAATCCTTTGGCATTTTGGATATTGCTGAACTATAAATCTCATCATCTCTGGCCTTGGGCCATGCTTGCCAGGGCTGATGGAGTTGTCGTTCTGCAACAACTGGAAGGTCAAAGGTTCTCCCACATCTGCTTTAAAGGTTGGTCTTTAACACATAAGTGCTCAGATTTAAAAGTGACCAGCATGAGCATCTTGCTATTTCCAAAATCAACAAATATTTCAAAGGTCAACGGCCTTTGCTTTCTCTAGCAAGGTTCCCACCAAATCTATTATGTCTGGACAGCTGATGCCATAATGCTACTGCTGCAAGATTAGAACTAGAGAAATAGTGGGGAACTCTTGGCCATTTTTCTTAAAGTTCATCCATACAAGTGATTGGTGAACTCAATGGGCCTTGGCAAAGACGTGCAAGTTGTTAGGAGGGACCTGCTTCGTTGTACCAGAATGAAATTGCCACTGGCAAATATATCTTATACTGTATAGCTTTCTTGCAGCCTTAAAAAAAGAAAAAGAAAAAGAACTTCCGAAAAACTGGATAGCTTCATGCAGGGCAATTCATTTCTCAAATCAATGACAAAGTGCATTATGGCTGATATGTGCAAAATAAATTCTGCCAGACAAGACTGGCAATCTAAATGAACCAATCACTGTTGGCTCTTTGTCTTCTTTAATGCCAAGTGCTTATGGATTGCTAAATTTAGTATTTCCATTTGAAAACTGGCCTGCCTTGAGGCCAAGCCCTTCAACTGTCAAGATTTATCTCAAGAGCTTCTAGCATCAAAGTTAAGTTTCAGAGAAGCCTCACCATTGAATGGAAGACCCTAAGCAGTTTGGGACCGAGTTACCTGAAGTTATGAGAGCCCATCTTTTCATTAAGCATCAGCTGTTGGGACAGCTATTTTTTACTGGTATATAAAGGTATGGGAAGCAGCCCTACTACAAAAAATAACGTATAAATTGAGATCTTCTGGAAGTCGAAAGAGTAAAGACAAATTTCTGTCAGTCTAGGACAAATTTATTGCTTATGAATATGGTAATGATTGCCTCCCACAGCCTTTATAATGTTGTGGTTAATAGAATAAGGAGAAACTCACGGAGCTCCATAAGCTTCTTTCTGTTGACTGAACAGCTCACTTCCCCTGCAAAATGAATAAAGGGTATTTGTGTTAGCAGTTTTAATTCTTTACAGGTTTGATGTGACTCCTTTTTATGCTAACTATACAGAATGTACTGTCTGTGCTTATTTACTAATGTTGTTTATTTTAAATTATTGTTTGCATTATTCTTTACTGTTCCTAATTATAAAACTTAATAATAAATAGAGAGAGAGAGAGTCATCTGCTGCACCCCTCTTGTATGCACCTTCTGAGGCAAGGTTTGATGACAATGGGCAAGAGGTGGTGGCACCCCATATCACTTCCCCAAGAGATTAAATCATCTTCCTCTTTATTTGCATACTGCCAGCAATTTCATAAAGAATTGAATGTAGGTGCTACTATTTGTGTTTTGCTGCTGTATTTAATGCTTTAATGGTTAGATTATTTCTG